TTTTTTTTTTTTTTTTTTTTACTATTTTATTTCTTTTATATCCTATGTGTCCAAGGGTGCGTTAAGTGCTTTACGTCAATTTATTATTACGTTTAGGCAGCAATGCTGAACAGTTGATCTTATATGGAGGAAATTAAGGTGTAGAGATGTTAGATAATAAAACTAAGCTATTTTTTGATTGCTGAGCAAGGGAGAGCTACAACACTGGAGAAAATTCAGAAAGTTTTCCTGAGATCTGAAAAAAGAAGGACCAAGGAGAAATATATTCCTTATTAAGAGGGATGCCATGCATTAAGTTCACTTCTTCCTTTTGGTTGTCTATTTTTCTGGTTTTCATCATTAAATCACAAGCACCAATTTCAAGGAGGTCCTATGTGGGTTATCACACTTGGGATGTGGCAGATTTTTCCTTAAAAAGAGAAGATACGTTTCTTGCCCCAAATCACTCAGGTGGTGAGTAGAGGTATTGGAACATGAAACAAAATCGTTTTATTCTGGAGTCCTTGTTTTTGTTTTTGTTGGTTGTTTGGTTAGTTGTTGTTGTTTTCCTGTGCTACCATGTCAAACCCTTGGCTTGAAATAATTGTTTTAAAATATAATCTTATTGTAAAGGAAGATTCAGAGAAAAAAATTTCAGCAATTATAGTCTTTGTTCACATTTTATTACCTGGTTTCTCAAAAAACAAAACAAAAAGAAGTGAAAAACAAGTAAACAATGACAATTTTAAAAAACATCCACCAAAAAACAATGAACCATGTAATGATTTGTTAAATACAGATGGAAACATTTAAGTTAATATGGTTTTAGGGCCCATTCGTCAAATACGATTTGGAATTCTTCCTAACAAATCAAGAGTTTGGTGTTATAGATGAAGAATTTGAGGCACAGAGAACTTAATAAATTGCCCACTGTCACACAGTTGGAAAGTGTTGGATCTGAGAGTTGATCTAGGTAGTCTGAGTTCAAAACCATGCTCTGTCATCTGTTATGTTTCTAGACACAGTACTGAGTACAAAAGGGTACATGAAGAAAAGCAACTATAAGTAACTTTGATTTTAATCACAATGCTTGTGAATGTTTACCATATAAATTTCCTATAACTGCATATAACATTAACTCCTGCGTTCCCCATAGACCTTCTTACATGTTGAAGATTATTGACAAGTGTTGGTCACTCATCCAGCTGAGTGTGGATTACTTCTCTTTTGATAGGGCATCCTGAGGAATCCTATTAGTAAGAATAGGTGCCCTGCTCAAGGCAACTTATTTGGATATACTAGTCTGGCTGCTGGCCTCATTTGTGTATTTTAAAACCTTGGCTTCATTCATTGTGGCAAGTTGTTTTTTGAAAGTACTTCTGCTAATTGATGCTATTCTTTATATATTCATATTATTCACAGTTTTTAGTTTTGTGGTTCAATCCACTAGTAGAATTTACAATATTCTGTGTTGGAGGTGATTCATTAAATATGGAAGCAAATGAAGTCTTTTTACCACCACCAATATAAACATCTGAAGTGCCCTTCTGAGAATTAATAAGCAAAGCAAGACTAAGTTAAGTTTAACCAAAAGTGTCAGATTAAGTTGTAGACAGAGTCTTGGAACCATTAATAAATAAAGTGACGTTTTTGGTTTTGTTTTGTATTAGCTTGAGGTTATGTTAGGTACAAAAGCATACACAGTTTACATACTTAAAGGGCATGCGATCTAATCTGCAAAAATTTACTTTCTCATAATGATACCCCTGTATGTCTGATTCCCTTTTAGGTTTACTCAAAACAGTACAATAATAAAATTGGTTGTTCTCTACCACCTTATCCCAATATTTTTACATAGGAAAAATAGACTTTTTGTATCCAAAATATCAGTTTATGGAATTAATTTTATTCTCCTCTTCCAGGATTCTGTAAAAAATTAGGAGCATTAATCTGCCAAGTTTTATTTTTTCCTTATTTTTAGTTTCATCTCAGTTATGTTAAACTGGGTAATAAAAAAAGTGCCCTTCAAGGGCTTCCTATGAGGCCTATAGCCCTTGCATTCTCTTGATCTGGACAGATGTGGCTTTATCTCGGTTTCTTCTCTGTAGGTTTCCTAGTCCCTTCAGATGGCCTACTGGATAGTATCCAGCACAGCTCCAGGGGCCTTGTCTTCCATGAGGTCTACAGCTATTTCCTAGGCAACATTTATGCATTATTGTCCCTGCAGTCACAAGGAAGGTTGGCCAAGCCCAGTACAATACCATTTTCTTGTCTTTGTCCCGAGTACCTGTATCCCTGTCCTCAGTTTCTCAGGCAGGAGTCAGATCCTGGCCCACTGTCCTCATTTACTTGGAGAAAGCAAGCTCTCCTAGTAGCTCCTGTGAAATTCTCTCATTAACTTGAGGATAGAAGGTAGCTCCCATCACCATTTCCCCAAGTGGACATGGAGATTCTCAAAGTAGCAATGGTTCTTTGCATGTAAATGTTGATGCTTTTATAGTCCTGCAATGAGTAAGAGTGGGCATGGATTGTGAAGTAGATTTCTTTGAAAATCTGCATAGGAAGATTTAGAATTTCACTTTAGAATTTTATATCCATTCGTCTTGGTGTTAGGGTGAAACTTTCATGTCAACCACTTTCTCCAATTGTCGAAAACAATATTCAGACAAAGAAAGGAGATGAGAGAATACCTTTCTTTCTGAGTATTCATGCTGTGTTCATGATTCTGCATTGGCATCATCACATAATTGTCCGATTTAATCATCATAACAACTTTACGGGATTGGGAATATACTCAATTTACAGAGGAGGAAATTAAGTTTCAAAGAGTAAAAATTTAAGGCCACATAGATACTGTGGAAATAGAGATGTCTGAGTGAAAATCTCCTGCTTTTCCTGCTCCATTATTGCAGGTAAGACATAAAAATCTACTCACCAGTGTCAACCTAGGACTGACTGCCCGATTTACTTCTCAAATAGTTACCTTCCTTTTGTAGACTTGGATTTAAGAATGTTTGAGGTCATGTCTCCTACTAATGATTTTGAGTACAGCACAAAATCTTAACATTGGCTGAGTCTTAAAATATATGTTTAAATTTTTTTTTCAGACAATAGATTTTGAAGGTTTCAAGCTATTTATGAAGACATTCCTGGAAGCCGAGCTTCCTGATGATTTCACAACACACCTTTTCATGTCATTTAGCAACAAGTTTCCTCATTCTAGTCCAATGGTAAAAAGTAAGCCTGCTCTCCTCTCAGGTGGTAAGTTTAATTATTTACTTTAAAAATGTATGTAATGCAAAAACCTCAAAGGGAAAAATCATTATAAGTTGTCTGTAAGCTGAGATGATTTGTTTAAAAATTACCTTTATTGCAGGATTTATCCTTTCATACTAAGACTGTGCAACTAAACATTAGAGAAAATATACTTTATCATTATTCATCACTTGTCATTTCAATGTCTTAGAAGTTTATGTTTAGGTAATAATTTTAAGAGATACTTCCATCAAATATAGGAAAGTGCTCTTTTAAATGACTGGAATATATATATATGTGTGTGTGTGTGTGTGTGTATATATATATATATATATATATATATATATATATATGTAGTCACAAGGCAGTTATGTAAAAACATAGTATTTAATATCAGTTGTTCAAATTACCAATATACTTTCACACTTTTAGATTTGTAAACTCAGAACAGAGTTTAGATTTTTCTCTTAGATACTTAATTGTTTGTCACCATAGAGATGGTTGGTTCTCTCATTAGGTGTAGCTTTTTAGAGATGTCTAATGCATTACTACCTGTCACTAATTATATCACTCTCCACACAGTCAGGAAAATAGAAATCTCACTATATTAATTTAGAAAATGTGCAATAGGAAACTGGTTAAACAGTGTTGGAGAGTTGAAAAAGTGAAGATGAGCACTGAGACACACTGAGGTAGAACCAGAGGAAGCAGATGCCTCCCCCTGGGTTGGAGTCTTCAAAACCCAGAAGCTTGGAAGGAGGACCTCTTAGAGCTGGGAGGCAGAGTTGCGGGGGTGGGTGTTGCCTGGCAGGTCTCACTGTTAGACTCCTGTGGAGGGGATCCTTCCTGATTGGCTCTGTTAGCTCAGGAGCTCAGGGAAGAGTGTGCAGCCCTGGAAGTCAGACCTCTTACAGCATCACCATGGTCTGTGCAGGACTGAATTGCAGGAGCTCACTGTGCCTTCTTGGTGTGGCAGTAAGCTGGAGACTAGAGCGCCTTGCTAGTGGCACCAGGTGCTGGGACAGTGAGATGCTGGAGAGATCTAACAGATAAGTGCAGGTAGACCAGCAGGAGCTAGTCCCTTCTCCCTCCTCCCTTCTCTTGTCTCTCTAGTGCGCCCTGTGAACCCAACAGGTTTCCATCTGGCAATGGAGAAATGTAGTCTACAGCAGTGTTTCCCAAACTCTTTGATCTCAGGACTCTTTTAGGCTCTTGAAAATTATTGAGGACACCAAAATGCTCTTGTTTATATGGGTGATATTTATTTCTATTTACCATATTAAAGATGACACATTCTAGAAATTACAATAATCTTCCCCTCAGATGTTGACAAAAATAACATCTTTATGAAAAATGACTATTTTCAAAACCAAAAAATAATTAGTGAGAAGATTGACCTTATTTCACACTGTTGCAAATGACTAACATCCAACTTCATAGAAGACAGCTGAATAACCACATCCACTGCTGTGTTGCCATATCATGTCAGGTAGCCCCTTGAAAAGTCCACACCCATGAGAGAATGAGAGTGAAAAAAGCAAATGATATCTCAGAATCATCACTGATAGCATTTTGACCTTATAGATCCCCTGAGAGGGGATTAAGTATTCTATGGGAGCCACTGGTCGAGACTTCCCGTCCTAGCTTCACAACATAGAATATCGAAGTGTGGGTAAAGAGGTGAGGAGAATTTTACTAATTAGCACTCTAATAAATAAAAAGCTTAAAACATATAATTAAGAAATAGGTGATTGAGCCATAAACAAAACTTGGGCAATCTGATGAAGAGTCCACACTATTAAGCCTTATGTTGTGCTGCTTCCCTTTCTGTTAATGGAGTAAAATATTCTTCCTTGAGCAATCACATGTTGGTTCAAGCTTTTTAAAACAGATGTATACCTTCCACATGCTATATTTTGATCCCTTCAAAGTATAGAACAATTAATATGCTTATAACCTTTAACGACCCATCATATATTTTCATTCCTGAAATGATTCCCCTTATACCATGAACTGAGAGGACTCCCCACACTTGCTGTTTTCTCTGAATGAGTTCCGTTTAGTTTGTCCTAAAGTGTGGTTTCAGAGCTTACAAGTTTTCTAGGCTGAAAATTTTTATATGAGACAGGTTTTTACTTGGATCTGGAAATTAAAATTTCTGTGTTCTCCATTTCATGCTATAAATGGATTGCATATTCCTTAGAAATAACAAAGTTGTCCCTTATTTAAATTTACATGAAGCAATACTCTCCTTGGGAAACACTGTCTTCTTTAAGAAGACAAATACTGTCTTCTTTGAGGAAGAAGGGGGAAAATTTTTTGATATGTTGTCTCTCTGAGTCAACAGACTCAGACTAGTTGTGTCACACTTAGAGGAAAGAGACAATCTAATTACTTTGGTAGTTTTATAAGAAATTCAAACCTCAAACCCTCTTTTCTTCAGATAGCACATAGTAAGTACTACATAGAAGATACCGAATTTACAAGGAGTAGAGATCAAACCATGTTTCAAAATGGGAAAAAAAGATAAGGAATAACAGCTTGTGCTTCTTTTGGGACAATCACACATCCTGCATAGACCTACTTGAAAGGAATTGTAAGATAGGCTGTGTAACCCTCATGCAGCAATAATAAATTAAACTGTGATGCCTTTTCAAAGCGTGGCCTCCACATTTTAAGACATAGGTGCATAGTGTCCTTTGTAGGACTGTTTCTCATCCTGTGTATTTTCAGAATTACCTTTGATAGTGGTTTTTTTTCTGGGAAATAAGGAACCCTGGACAGTAATAAAATTTTCAAGGCCTAGGGTAGCCTTGACTCAGAAACTGAAAGATAAATAGATTTTTATTCCTAGAAACTTGCTTTGCAATAATCTAAGTTATCTACGCAAGATGTATTTGTGGTTGAAAAAAATCACAAATTAATTTTGAATAAAGAGGTGCTATATAATCTGCTTTGTTTATCTGCTCTGAGAGTTCACATATTTCATTACCACATTACCATCAGGAATATGGTAGCCATTCTTGATTCTGTATATCAATTGAACAATAAAGGCTTCTCAATAAGAAGACAAACTTTTTAGAAGGAAAAAAATGTTATTCTTGTTAATGAACAATGATCACATATTTGGTAAAAGTAAAGCATTTAGTTTTTATAGAATAAAACATTTAAAATAATTATAAATAGGTATAAAAGTTATGAGTGTGTATGTAGTTGTGTTTTGTTCAACCTAATGATCCATCTGGCATTTCATGTAGTGGATGATATATTGTTTTGGAACATTTTGTTTCCGTTAAGTGCCTCTTATCCCCTATTTAAATATAAGATGATTAATTCTGCTGTTCCCATGTTGGTCTTTTAGTTTTTAAATATATCCCCAATATACCATCTTTCCAGCTTTCTTATAACCTCTTCTGCTTCATTGTAAATCCCAAATCCCTAATCCTAAACCTCTCTGCTAGTCCAACAACCAATTTCTGATCTTACCTTCATCCCTAGAATCTATCACTTGAACTATTACCTTTACAGAAATGTTTAATTATTTGGAATCCTTTTTTTTTTCCGCAAGTGGCTCACAAACCCTCAACCATGGATCACTATTATGATCCCATATTTCAATCCCTGCTATTTGCACACTGAGCATAACCAGGGAGAAATCTCATAAATATGCATGCAGGTTGTTGTCACTACACATTCCTAACACCCAGTATTAACATGGCCTTAACACCTCTTCAGCTTTTAAAAAAATCTATTCTGAAAAGTATTTATTCTTGATACTGTCTCCTAGATCAATCAGGTTAAACTTTTTAAACCTCCTTTAGTTTGTTCATATCTTTCCCCTCACTCGCAACAGATGACATTTTTTTTTTCACATCATACAAAAAAACAGGTGCTGTCTAAAATAAAATGCTCAATTGTTTCCCACACAACCCAAAACGGTTTCTTCAGCTCACAGAGGATACATATTACTATATTCCAGATGGAGCCCTTCATCTGAGTGAGTGTTCCATAAGGAGTCAAACTAAGTGGATTGGAAAGTCAAATAATTATATTCTACCCAAATCTGCTTCTATTCCTATCTTCTTTCTGGTTGAAAGGAACCTGAGTATTTATCAATTTCCCTACCCTAAAATCTTGGACCCTTCCTACCCTTCACTGCCTCACTACTTAGGTTTAGTTACTCACAAAATGCTATTACTCGTTGTAACTTCTCAGACGTTCTGCCAGTGTCAGTTTGATACATCATTGTTTGTGTCATGGACTATCAATTAGCATGACTCCCAGCCAGGCCCTGCCCTCCCATCTGGAAAATGTTCTTTCTAACACAGAAACCTGATGATATTATTCGTGGATTCCCAAGTGCAGACTTTCACGATCACCTTGTGGAATGTTTTTTAAACCTTTATTTCCCAAGTAAACATAAATTCTTGATATTTAAAGCCGATTAGAGCAGAGTTACTTTGCTTTGAGGGTGGTGCAGGAGAGGTCTGAGTACAGGGAGTCCTAGTCACTCTGCCTTTCCCCTGCCTCTGGAGACACCCCCTCCTGAAGTGACCTTACAGAGACTCCAGGGCCTGGGCAGTGCAGTTAAGAAGATGATAAAATCTGAGTTCCATAGCATTAAGCCAATGCCATGCAGCTTATAGAGTCTGCCTACCGTCCTTATTCTCTGTCTCCTTGCCCCATGCACCCAGATTCTTTTCATATCCAACTGTTTGCTGTGACTTAAAACCTGCTGTGCTTACTCAGGACTCTGGGCTTTTCTGCATGATGTTCCCTCTGCCCTTATTTCACAGCAAAACCCAGCTCCTTCAGGTCTCAGCTAATGCTTCATTTTAATTCAAGAGCATGTGCTGTGTACCATGCTATGGATGCAGTGATCAGTAAGATGGGACACCTAGAGAGTGTAGCTGGGAAGCAACCCTGTCACCCTTGTTAAAGTCCCACCATCTGCCTCTTGTAGATTAGCTGGGACATCCCTGCCTCTCTCCAAATCCCACCTTTGA